AGATTTAAATATTATATATATTATTAATTTTTTACAGAGAGGAGGGGAGAGAGATAGAGAGTTAGAAACATCGATGAGAGAGAAACATCGATCAGCTGCCTCTTGCACGCCCCCCACTGGGGATGTGCCCGCAACCAAGGTACATGTCCCTGACTGGAATCGAACCTGGGACCCTTGAGTCCCAGGCAGACCTGCAGGCAGACACTCTATCCGCTGAGGGCTGTTGCTTCCTCTTACATGTTAAAGAAAACTACCCATTTTAAGTTAGTTATTTTATTTTGTTCTAAGGCACCATGTAAATTTACAAGTTTTGACTTGTCCCAAGAGCCCCAAGGGGCTGCTGAAGTTCAATATAATCCCTCCTGAAGTCCCATCACTCAGAGAGAAACTTAACAGTTAGCTCATAATGGTAGGATATATGCCCAGTGGGAATGCATGGGGGTTGGGTACATTGTGTTTATCATAGTAAAAGTGGTTCCAGATAGAAGAAGGGAGAAGGACCTTGACCTACCTTAAGACCATCAAATTATCTACTTGCCCAGAGAATCCCAAAAGACAAAAGGAAAATAGAAGCAGGGATTTCTCAAACAATAGGTTAACCCTTTCAAAGAACCAAGCCTGAACCCTTCTGGCAACAAGAAAAAATTGGAGCACAAGATCGGAGGGGGACTGACCTCTGGATCCAACAGCTGTCACCAAGAAGAAAGCTAAGGTTCCTCATCATATTCTGTCCTTCTCTGAAACCTCAGCAGGATACAGGGCTTATCTAGACTCTACCCAAGTGATGGCATCAAACCGTCGCGAAAAAAGTGGTTAGTGGCCCAAATAGAGGTTGGAGGCTTTATTCAGCTGATGTGTGTCAGGGGGCACCTCAAAATTAGGTAACTCTCTGAACTAAAATAGGATTGGGATTGTTAAAGAGTAAGAAGAGGGGGGTATGTGACTTTTTTCTTGTTCCAAATTACAGGTGTTTTTTTTTTTTCTTTTAATCTGTAACTGCTGCAAAAGTTGCTGTTGGAAAGGTTAGGCTAGTGATTTCCATGCCTCTTTCTCAGGTCGCTAGTGCAATATCATTTTGGCAGATGACAGAACAGTTCTTTCAAGAGTGATTTGCAAGAGTGGTTGTCTGTTAGCTGTCTAATGCCAGTTAAGGTTCAGGTGAGCAGGAGATAGAAAAGAAGAAACGGGCAAGAGAAAAGACAGGAGAAGGTAAGAAACGAAGTCAAAAGTCTAAGCAAGAAAAACTAGGGTCTGTTTTAATTTTTTTATAATCCTATCTAATAAAAGAGAAACATGGTAATTAGCGTACGACCGCTACCCTTCCCATTGGCTAATCAGGGCGATATGCAAATTAACTGCCAGCCAAGATGGCAGCCAGCAGCCAGGCAGCTGATGCGAACAGGGAGGCTTGCTTGCTCCAGTGATGGAGGACTCCAACGTTCCCCAACCAGCTTTCCGGCAGGGATCTCAAAGCTGGAGATGATACAGTGTTTCGATTATAGAACCCAAACAAACCAGATACCTGCTTTCAGCAGCAGAGGAG